TGGTAGTTTGTTCTCTTCGTCAGAAAGACTGACCCGCTCACCTCCTTCCAGCCCTCTGCTGCGACCTGCTGGATGGGTGATTGATCAGATAGGCTTTGAGGTCTAGGAAACTTTCGATTTTCCGCATGTAGACTTGAATTCTAGGTGCGGAAAGCACATACGGGTTCATAGCTTTGAAAGGCATCATTCACTAATGCTTAAAGGAATCAATGCATTTTTAAAATCCATAAACGGCGAGATCCCAAGTTTGCCCATCTAGTGATGGTTGTGACATATGGAAGATGAGAGGTGTTAATGGCAAAGAGCATGAGTTAATAAATGAAAGAAAAAATATTTTGGGTGTCTGAAAGTAGAAGAAAGTGGAAATATGTAATATATAGTAATCAGGATAGTATGATCTTCTGGAGTTAATGAATATTTGGGAAACGACAATGTAGGTTTAATTATGAATGAAAGACTTAAAAATATGTATGTCAGAGAGTATGAATTAATGACATCTAGGTTGCTGCGATTAAGGGTCATCTGAGATTAGAAAATATTTTAAAATATTTTTTTAAACGTTAAGGCAGCCTGGCCTCCACCAGATGCATCGCCTCTCAGCTTCCAAAACCTCCAGCCAACATGACCTCAAAGCTATTGGAGGACTGAGTGTTCATAATGTTTCAATTGTGTGCTGAAATATTATATATTTCTAAAGATGGAGATTTTTTTTTTAAGTAAACAGTGTAGATGTTGAGATAAGTAAAAGTAAACCAAATAATATGTTTATCGAAGACAGGAAGGAACAATGAAAGAACAAAGAAAATGTTCAGTTACACAATGAAACAAGAGTTAGAGGATTCCAGCTGATACCTGTATTTCCCATTTTAAAATATACACACCACCTACAAGCATGCCCAACATTTCAGGGACAGATCTTGCTTTTCCATAAAGACACCAAGGATTATTCTTAGCTGAATGAACAACAGTCAACATCAAGCCCCTAATCATGTAGTCTGGTTTCTTTTTATTGGTTATGTCCCACCTTCCTATTTAATCTGAGTAAAGTTACTTCTTCTGTCAAGCTGCCTTCATAACTAACTTAATGTAGCTCCCCTTGTATAGAACTATCAGCATCAGAAGATGGAAAACCTGTGATCTCTAGAACTTGCTGAAGAGCAAGTCCCAGCACCTCTGATCATTCACCATGAAGGCTGGAGCTAGAAGTTCAACAATATTTGGAAAGCTAAAGGTATGTCTCTCTCCTTATCTTCTGATTTATATTGTACTTTTCCTCCGTGAGGTTGAGGATCTCTCTACTTCTCTGTTTTCACCTGAAGGTTAACCTTGTGAAACCAATCTAAGCTGAGAATGTGTTTCTGGATCACAGTTATCTGATGAGCATCAAAGCCAAGTGAGAATTTGAATCGGGTCGCTCACTTCTAACTGAACACCTTTACCACTACACCACTGGGTTGTCAAGATGACTTTGGCTCCGTTCTTGATCTGGATGATGCACAGCTGAAGCTCCTCCTGTTTTGCTCATGCACACAGCCTCTAGTTCAGGTCCATGTCCATTGCCACCATCTTCTCCTGCATGATGTAACAGAGGGTTCCAACCGTTTTGTATGGAATCTAGAGGTAGCAACTAAATGTGGTAGGGAGTAAAACCAACTCTGCTGAAGTTCCCAATTCAATGGCACTTTGAAAATCCCTGCAAAATTAAAAGACATTTCCCAAGAAGGATCACAGCTGATCATGGTGTATCGCTTTGCATGTTCTATCCCTGGCTTTTCTGCTTAAAAGGATCATAGAGCAGGTAAGTCTGAGAAGGCAAAGTCTCAGCAGTTTGGACCACCATCCTTGAAGGAGAATTCAGGCAAACAGGAACAAGCACAAAACTGGGGTTAGGAAGTCCTAAAAAAGAGACTGCAGGAATTGGGATGCATAGCACTGAGAAAACTACCAGAAGATATGACAGGACTCTTCCAAGTACCTGAATGTCATCCAGAAAAGAACAACACGTATTCTCTATTAGCCCACAGTGCAGGTTATGGAATAATGGATTTAGATTACAGGAGCAGATTCCAGAGGAGTGCTGATGGAGCGGAATTCTCCAGATCTGGGAAGAAAATGGGCTTTTGCAGAACAATGCGGGGGGTGGGGGGGAACAGCAGGACCTTCCATTCATATTTCATAAACAGTTAATCAACCCTTTCCTAAATCAAGAGAAAATTAGAAAGAGGATAAGAGGTATCAAAATGAGCCACACTTGCTAATATAAGCTGGGCTAAAACACACCCCTCTCTAGATTCCAGGGCTGAATATTACTAAGAGACTTGACAGTTGGGAAAACCTTTTTCAAGATTAGAGCCATGGAACTAATTATCTGGATAGGTGATGGGGGTCCCCTTCAATGATGTTTGCAGCTGAAAAGCCATCTCTTGTGAATGCCTTTGGCGGAGGGGAAGAATGGATTCAAGGCCTCAGCATTCCTTTTAATGTCCTTGATTGTGATGGAATGGAATTATGAAGGCCAGGCTCAGAGAGATAAACATTTTCTTAGCTCGCCAGA